TGTTTTGTAGAGGACACTTTACTCTATAATGTACAATATTTAACTCAAAAATAAAAAATATTTCTAAAAAAGTGTAAAAAGAGAGGGGTTACCTTTAATTTTCTCTCACGGCACGCAACAGAATTTGATAATATATATACCACTAGATAGAGGAAGTCTTCCTGTACAAACCTACATATATCCCGTGCTGGGGTCAAAAATTACCATGAAAGTCATAGTCGCCTTTGCCCACTTTTATCAGAAAGGAAGAAAAAGAGGAAAAGCTTAACAAAAGGAGGTAAAAGGAGGAGAAAATCTTATTTAGGAGGAAAAGGGAGGAAAGAAGGGCGAGTACAGTGCAAGACCTCGCCCTACCTTATCCTATGACTTCAAGCGATCTCAGAGCCTATTTTATTCTACGAGTAGGGTAAGAGAGCTCTGCACATCTTTGCTCTATATTTCTATAAATGCTAAGCGAATATAAACGTTTTTGCTCATCTTTATTTTTTTGAATTTCTTTTCTTGGACGATACCACGCTTATGTAAGCGACTCATATTCATATCAAATAGTTTTGATGGTAAAAGTCTGACTATCCATTAGAGAATTAGGTACACTGTAATGTCAGGAATTATTTACAGAAAATGCTCGGCGATTTTCAAAAAGTCCATATATAAATACCTTGAGCATTTTCTAGATTCTAGATATGATGTCGTGTTTCGATGTTTTGGTATACTCCGAGAAGCAGAGACTTGAAACATTAAATAACAAAAGAAAAAGCTTCTCTGGGACTGCATAAGCCTAACGAACTTCTCGGTTAAGAATGCTGTCAAATGTCGTTATTTATAATTTATCGTTTGAAAGATGCTTTGCTTATTTATTAAAAAAGGTAGCAAACTACAAAAGAAAAATTATTGTACTATTTTCCATCACCATCGGACAATTCAGTCAACTTGGAAAATGTTATAAATAGAAAAAAAGAAAAAATTTGTATGACGCATAACTTAGCGGTTCTGAAAAAAAGTGACGATGACTGCTCTATAACTCTATGGTTCTAATCATGGAGACATAATGTACTCTGAAAAGTAATTAACTAGCCTTTGCGATACAGCTTCTTTGCCAAGGCCTAAGCACAGAGGGTAAAGCCGGTATTTACATTTTTTTAATAAAGCTACAGTTCATTGCTTTACCAAAGCCCGTCATCGGTGCTTATTTTAAATTGGGAAAGCAATGAACATACTCATTTTACTTAACAGTAACATACCACTTAACATATATTTTATTTTCTCTAAACTTACTGATTCTGCAAAACGTTGAGAACCCAGTGACAAATTAAAATCTCTTGATTTAAAAACAACAGCATTGACTGTTTGAAGAGTCGTCTTCGTATTGTTCGGATAACTGATATTGAAAACTTCATATACAGCCATTAAAGCTGCCACAGCAATACACTCGATGTAGAATTTCCAGAACCTTGGAAATTATTCATAGAAAATCGATCGATTTTCTAGAATATTAGAAAATTAAACTCGAGTTTCCAGTATTTATAAAATCGACGCCGAATTTTCATATTTTTGGGAATTCTATGCCGATTTTCTGAATAAATGAAAAGTCAGTTTATAGAAAAATAGAAAATCACGAATTTCTAAAAAGTCAGAAAATCTACGAACATTTTATATAAATATCAGAAAAAGCTCCACGATTTTCCCGATCAATTTTCTATAAACTAGAAATTAATTCCAAATTACAGTGTACTCGTGCGACGCTGAACAGAATAGGATAAAAGTTGGTTGCTATATGCAAAATTCCTGGGTAAATCCGACAGCGGATTTCTTTTAATTTTATTTTGGCTTCTTCTCTGGCGTTAAGGTAATCTACATGATTTTGGTCTAAATTTTGCTCTCTCGTAGGTTGAGAAAAAAAGTGCCAGTGAGAGAATCAAAGTTAGGCAAAAATCATGCAGATTGCGTTGATGTCAGAGAAGAAGCCGAAATAAAATTAAAAGAAATCCGCTGTCGGATTCACTGAGGAATTCTGCATCTAAGTTTTATCCTATTCTGTTCAGCATGGCACGAACACCTAAGTCTCTAGTGATAACGATTTACTTCTTATAGAATGAATAGTATATTTGCATTTTTCTGTTATTGCAGAAGTTGTTTATGATGTACGTGTGTTCACTGGTGAATATAGCACGAATTCCGATGTATATTTAACAGTTTATGGTTCAGAAGGTAATTCTGATGAACAGTTATTAGATGAATCTGACTCAGAATTTAAGTTCAGTGAAAATCAGGTTTGAAAACACTAAATTCATAATCTACATTTTACTATTTAATTAACAAATGTTTAGGAAGATACATTCAAATTGAATGTACCATTCCATTTGGGAGTGTTGCGTAAGATAAAAATTCGTCATAAAGATACTGATAATTGGAATTCATCATGGTCTTTTTATCGCATCGAAATAGAAGATAAAAGAACAAATAAGATGTAACTGTGATACTAAAATTTAATATGTACCTCGGAATTTTCGTGTTTTTTTTTGCATAGATACATATTTTATCCTTCAAATTGGCTCACAAAACACGATAGTAATTGGCAGATATGTTATGAAGTAGATGCGAATACAGTAACAGATGACAACTTACCCAGACGAGGTTCATTGTCGCGTTCAATTAGAAGATCAATAGGTTGGTGTAAAGAAAAGAGCATTTATTTGAGAGACTTACAGAAGTTAGTTATAAAATACACTATATGCCCTTCTAAAAGACCGTCTCATCTATCACATTGAAATCAATAATCTTGTGCATGCACTATTTTGTAATAACGCGGATCCAAAATCATTATGAGTAAAAGTGAGTTATTTTACATTTTATTTTAGGTAGTCAACACGATTTACGAATGGATCGAAGTCCATCATCGAATGACCGTAAAAGTACTTTAAAGAAGGGTATAGGACGTTCTCGTTCTCATACTCGCAGAAATGATTTTGAGCGAGATCTACCATTACAAAACAGTCCTACAAAAAAAGATATAGAAGGATCTACAATTCCTCTGGATGTCATCAAAGGAAAACAAGTAAGACGATTAGTCATTTGTAGATATATATGCTGCTGGTGAAAAGTAACGACAATATAATAATTTTATGATTTAGGTGAATCACAAAGTGAAAAATGTCAATACAAAGAAGAATATTAATGTTTCTGGAAAAATTTGTGAAATACAATAGTAGTAGTAATTGGATAAGAGAATATTCTATCCATATTTATCGCGTTTAATTTTCGCACTCTAAATTAGGCTACAGAGCTTTATCTCGATAGAACACGAAGCAATCCTCGGTAAACATTAAAACACCGACTATGATAGATTTTTCAATAAACCATTCTTGCATGGGTTCAGAATATTTTCCTTTTCACACACGGTCACACACATGCCTTTGCTCGCTTTTGCAGACGTAAGTTTGAAAAACCCAGCTATCGAGCTGTGTAAAAATTAGTAGTTTAGTATAATCAGAGTAGTTTTCATACAGCCAATTTTCCATTATCTGATACATAGCCTGATATGAATCATAAAATTACAATAATCTTGTTAGCATCATACTCTTCATAAAAAGACAATCGAACAACTAGGTAAAATTTTCTTTCAACAAATGCTTTTGGCCAAAATATAGCTCTCTTTATCTCTTCCATCCAGCCTACATTTTTACTTACTGCATCGTCCTTGATGGCGAATTTTTGATCAACAGAATATCTTCCTATTCACTAATAGCCACTTGCCATTCTGATAGCATTCGGTCCATCAGTTTTATGAGGCTCACTCTACCAATGGGATACCGAGCATTTAGGCAGTGTTGTAGAAGATGAAGTGAATTATTAGAGCTAAGAGTAGTTTCTACCGGCAAAGGGACACGTAAAAGTTCCATCTATCAACGTTATCCTATGACAGGAGTGCCTTGGATTTTGTGATCTTCGCCTTGGAGAATCTTAAAAACATATGGAAACATAGATTATCGACTACGTTGAATCTCATGGCAATGCCAGTTCAAAATATTCATAATTCACTCAAAATGGATCGAGACTACGTCAGAATATGAAGATATACTCCATTTTATCTGCTCCATACCATGAAGTCCAATAAACGTTTAAAAATCAACAGAAAATATTTTAGCTTTTGGAAAGGTTTTTAGTAACAGAATATTTTTTATGGATTTTTTTTTTAAGCATACAGTCAGTTAGCCTGAGCAGATAAAATGGAGTATATAAAATTTATTGAAGAATAATATCTTTATCCTGAACTGAAGTTCATTGCACTGTAAAAATAAAGTGTGCTCGGGGCACACTGAATGAACACATCACGTTGGACTGTTTTTGCACGCTGAAAATGGCTTGTTCAGTGTGTCTGGACTCACTGGAATTGCACATATAGCTTCCACAGACAGAACGAGAAAAAAGACTGAAGAGAAAAAGAATTCTTTTATTTATTTTCCGTAGAGAAACGCAAGATAAAAATTCAGATTACCCAGTGACAATTTGCACATCACTTTGGACTCGAAATGCACAGTTTGAGGAATGCACACTAGCAGGCACACTTTATTGCCTTCTTTTAAACAAAGTTAATTGTAAAACGATAGATCGAGAAAGATTTTCAGAAGGAATATAGAGAAGACTATTATAGAACAAAGTTAACAAACTAGACGTAAGCTTTTAATTGATTAAAAATTACTCATTTCTCCACATTCAGTGTACAGTTAAAAGAACTCAGTACTGAAGTCTTTTACACAAATACAAAACAGAAAAGATTTTAATACCACCTCAAGCGTTTTGGGAACCAATTTTAAAGACGAAGGGCTTTTGCACAAAGTAATGGTAGTTACAAACACGGTCTGCCTCACAGTGGGCATTTTTCTATAGAGCAGGCGGACATATGCTGTAGGAGTGGTATGAAAGCCTATAAACACGTTCTTCTACAGGTTTTCGAATATGCTCTTTCTAATGATGAGATTTTCAGTACTCAAAAGTAATTCCTTGTGGGTTTTCTGGAGATCGGATCTCTGAAAAACTCATAAAAAATACTTTTGCATTTCGAGAACCTCACTATTCGAAAGATCATATTCGAAAACCTATAAAAAAATGTGTTTGTAGACTTGTGTACTATTGCTAAAATAAATATCCAAATTCCTAAGCAAAATTTGCTGCGGACAAGCTTTCAAGTCTAGAATTCAAGTTGATCGAAAATATTTCTGCAGAAAAATTAAAAAGCTATACATCATTCGATGCAGTTAGTAAAAATGTAGGCTGGATGGAAGAGATAAAGAGAGCTATATTTTGGCCAAAAGCATTTGTTGAAAGAAAATTTTACCTAGTTGTTCGATTGTCTTTTTA